TATATTCTATTTTGTGACTACATTTCTATCAAACTCAGTTTAGTCCTTTCTTTTCAATCTGCTTTCACAGCTGGCTGGCAGAACAACATTTCTAGTTGAAAGTGTTGAATATGTGTCTAATGCCATTATACAATGGCAATTTCCAATATTTGCCAAATAAAAATGAATTATAATTAGTGTGATGTGTGGTTCTATTCAATTGTGATTCATAATAGACTTGATCATATTACAGTTTTCTTTCTACAATCCATTCCTCACCAAGGCATCTTGGGTTTTTTGGAAAACCAAAAACCAAATATGAAATTTAACAGTCACCTCTTCATCAAATTAAAAACTGTTTTAAACTGTTAAAAAAACACTGGAGACCTCAGGGGATATATACCAAGTTAGATTTAAATTTCTGTATGTTCAATTGTTGTGAGTTAAATTCCTAGAAAGATCGCCAATGGCCATGGGTCATATACAAGAGATCACACTAAATATGATCCATTGGAAAAGTAAGTAGAAACCCACTCCCATGAAAGAGAGTAAATAAACATTCACAATCAGTGTAAACAGTCACTACAGAATGTGAACCCCCACCCCAGGCTAGAAGGTATCCAACAAAATAGCAAATGACAACGACATGTAGCATTGGTGCTCATCATGTGGGTGGATTAAGGCACATGACACATTGGTTTGATGTTAAAAAGGTATATAGGATTCAGAATCATAAACCAAGTATGCCTAATATTGTCACAATAGAAATATCAATACTGAACACTGGCATTCTATAAATCAGCACTCTGAAACAAATACAATGGTATTTTTCTTTCAAAAATTATAGTCAGCTAGTGACATACTTGGAGATAAAGGTGAAAAAAAAATCCCACGTTCAATGAATGCAGAATGTATTTATGTGTATACCAGTATTAGAAAATCAAACAGGGAAATACATGTGAACATTTCAATGCAACATCTAGCAATCTTTGGGAAGAATCCTCCCATTTTGTCAAACCAGAGATTATAAGAATCAAAGGCTTTCTGACTAATAAAGACTTGAATATAGTTTCAAAATTTATACTTGGATGTTGATAAGAAGCTACCTAAAATGCTTTGGAGTTTGTTGCTGTTTTACAAGCAATGGTATCCCATGAAATACTGTTTCTGAAATACTGAAGAAAACTTAGTAACAAAGTTAGAAACTGGCAAACAAGTTAATCCTCCTTCTCCAGAAAAACGTTGCAACATCCAAAAATGTTTTCTAATGAAAAACCCATAGAATCAAAACACCACACACACAACTAGAGAAAGCAATTGTTTCAGTACCCAGTCAACTTCCTCTGAAAAACAATGTAACAAAATATTTCAATGCAACACTGAGTTTTCTGAAATTAGAGAGAGAAAAAAAACAATGTTTACTCTCAAAAACTCCATCCAGTCACTGTGAAGCTTAAGAAAACAACAGATTTCAGAATCATAATTGCAGGATCTTGATATTCTAAAATGCATGTTTTATTTTTGCATGCTCTCAGAGAGCATTTTAGTTTGAAAAAATGTCACTAAATTTTTCTAACTAGGGAACACCAATGATTAAACCAAAACAAATAGCATGTTAACATTCCAGATTAGTACACAAATTAGGCTTTAGCTTTTTTGTGAACTTTTCTATAAAAATAAGTAGGTCGACATTTGTGATCCAGTTTTTAAGAATCTGAAGTTTAAATTCCCAGAAACCGTTAGCTCGCAACCTCTTCTTAAAACTAGTATATTCAGGATGAGTTGCAACAACTCATTTGGCCAGAAGGGATAAGAAAATTACAGCACACCACAGTTGAGCATCCAATTGGGAGAGCTGGCTGACATTATTCTTTTCAGATGATTAAATCATATTTTATGATTACTCTGAAGTAATATGCTGCTTATATGTAGTGTATTCATTCCAGAATGTAGCAACTCTTTCTACCTTTGCACACCCGCTTTTCCCCAATCAGAACATCCCCGTTATTTGTGCAATTGAACTGTGTCGCGGACGTGGTAACAAAAAGAACAGGCGATAGAGCATTCAAAACGGGAAACGGGGTGTGTGTGTTTGTAGGTGCGAGACAGAGAACACCCACTAACATCTATAGTAGGTTCAGTTCTAGATTGTTTTGCAAAGCGATTAAAATGTACACAGGCACCATTCTCCTGACACGTAGTACATTTATTGCTCTCCCCTTCATTTACAAGGAAGTAAACGAGGCACCCTGTCAATATGTTACTGGGGGTGTGTGTGTGTGAGTTGCTTAGAGTTCCTATCCAGCCTCCCCGTCCACCCCACAAAAGCAGCCTTGCCCTCCACTCCTTCGCCTTTTGCCCAGCGGTCAGCCTAGAGCTCCCGTTTCCCCAAAAGAACCCCCCCCAAAGCGCAAACTGGCGTCGGCGGATAACTGGACCTCCGCCTCCACCTCCGGCCCACGCCCGGTCCGGCTAAGAAGGCAGCGGGTCTCCGCGGAGGAAGAAGCCTCTCCTTCCTCCGGCGCTGGCTTCCTTTCCCTCCGCTTCCCCCCGTTGCACGGCGCCCGATACGATACTGAAAACGCGCCTCGACTCACGCAGGGACGAAAGGACCGCCAGCAGCAGCAGCAGCGCCGGGAAGGAGGCCGTGGGCGCCGCGCCCTGCCGCGAACCGCCGCTCCCCGAAAACGCCGCTGCCATTTTCCTGCTTCCACCGCCTTTTCTTCCCATTGTTAAAAACCCCGCTCATGGTTGGAGAGGGGTGGGAAAGCCGAGGGGAGCTACCGCGCGCCCATTGAGCTGTGCCTCTGTCAATCACGCACACCTCCCGAATCCCACGTCTCCTTTTCACGAGGCTCTGCCTCTGGCTTCCCCTGGCGAAAAGCGGTTGGAAGTTCCAGCTGCCACTCTCCCTTGCAGGCTTTATTAGAAAAGCACCGCCCCACCCTGGTTGGGGGCTGACACGTGATAAGGAGCGATTTGGGCGCTTTTTGTAGCCTTCTCAAATATTGCGGCAGGATTCGCTTTCTGCCCGGTTTTTGTTTTTTTTTAAATCTGGCAGTGGATCAAGTGGAAGTCTCCCTAACATGATAGAGACACAGAGAGAGAGAGAGCCAGGAGGGGAAGAGGAGGAGGAAGCCGTGGTTTTACAAAAAAGGAGAGCTTCCACCTTTTCCCCCCCTCCTTTTTTATTAACCTCTGTGTGTGTATGTGTGTGTGAGAGAGAGGGAAACTTACAAAAGGGATATCTCTCTCACACGAACGCGCGCACATACACGTGCTCATCTCACACACACACATATACACACACACAGGAAGGTGGTGTGCAGGCAGGCGAGAGAGCAAATTTGCAGATTAGCTTTGTGGTCTATTCTTGCCTCCTTCCCTCCCTAAAATCCAGGCAATAATAGAACACTTTGGATTGAATGGCAAGTTAAGAGAAATTGGTGTGAGTTGAAATTAAAAGGCCGAGTCAACTCCCCCCCCCCAATTATTTTGTTAAAGACAAAAATACTTCCCTTCATCTGCTCTTTTATAATTTAATCCAGCCTTACCCAAACTAATATATTTTGGGTGTCATGAACCACAGTTCCCATCATCCTGTGGCTATGCTGGCTAGAAATGCAATGCCTTATTTTCTCTGCAGTATGCGCCTAGGAGGCAGTAGGTCTGTGGGATTTAGATGTATTTAAACATTTGTT